TTTCATTTATTTTGAAGAATTCTTAAATACTAAATTGGATACTAGTACAAAAAAAAACTATGATATGTTAAATGTTATTAAAACTTATTTTTTGCAGAGAAAAAGTCAAAACCAGCTGTACAAGTTTCTAAAGAGGAAGAAGTAAAAGAACCAATTGTGTTAGAACAGCATCTGAAACTGGCAGTTGAGGTAACTATTAATATATTGGATGGTGATGGATTCAGGCAGTGTACTTACAACTTGAGAAAAAAACAAAACATTATGAAATATTCAATCACTAAATATTACACATGTGATTGTCCAATTTTTCTTTTAAAATAAAAATTATTTGCAGCCATAAGCACTGAAGAATGTTTTATTGATAATCTAGAAAAAAAATGTTATATTGGTTCACTGACACAAGTGTCTATGAAAGTGTTATCAGAAATTAAAACTTCATTTTTTTGTGCTGAAAATAAAACCACTAGAAACATAAACCATAGTTCTCTAGTACCTTCTAATAACAAACGCAGCACAGCTTGACGTGTTTTTGGACATCCTCGGGAAAGACGCAGTAGAAGAGCAGTGGCATCTTCAAGACCTTCTTCAGAACAGGCTTTCGAAGTTAATACCTGAAATTAAATTTTCTTTCTAGAGATCTTTGTTCCTGACACAGCAAAACTTTTTTCTTTCTTCCTCGCTTCAAGCATGATCAAATAAAGTAAAAAATACATCTAACCAAAACAAGTGGAATGTATGGTCAAGAATGATTACTTCTAGCTACATAGCAAATCCTATTTGTTCCCTTTACCGGAAATGTGGTGTGTTCACATATTTCTAGCTTGATGACTGAGCTCCGATCTTTAAATGCAAAGCTTGCAGCTGAAAAGGCAGTATCCGGAGAAGCAGATGACCGAGATCGAGAAGATGTTGATGCAAAAGTTGCCAAGGGCATGATTCATGACAGGTATGATATTTTTTTTGTGAAGTAAGAATATTTAGTAATGTAGATGAAGGAATTAAATATTTGTCTGTTATTGGTTTTGTTATTATGAAATAAATTACTGACTTACTTATGGTTAATATTTTCTAAAGAACTTCATTTGCAAAGTTTTTTTTTCTTTGAATGAATGTCAAATTTAAAAGCAATGTTTTAGTAAAAACCATTTAGTTTCGATTCAACTTGGTTTGAGAAGTTCTGTATAAATGTTTTCTGTCTTATTTTTAGGTTTACAAACACAGCAGTTGTTATTACAGCACCAGGTAAAGTTAAAGGAGGGGGTAGGGAGCTGCAACTGCCATCCATGGCTGCTTTGACAAGCAAAACTTCAAGCCAAGCTTTTTTTCTTAGGATTCTTAAAGTTATCATCCAGTTAAGAGAAGCTGCTCGAATAACTCATCGAAGGAATATGAGGGGAAGTAAGTTAGAAAAATAATAGGAAATTATCATTTTTTCAAAGAAATGGACTCATTGATTTTCAGAAACAATATTTTCTATCCAAAATTTGGATATTATTTTGTCCGTGTTGTTATTTTAATAGCAAAGTTTTTCATTGGTTGACTCGGTAATGTTTTTTAAGCTAGGAATATTTATTTGAAATTTATTTTATCCTTTAAGTCTGATATTTAAGTTGCCACAGTTTATTTTAATGATTGAACTACCATTTTTTTTACAGTATGAATTTCTTTCAGTGATATCTATTCTGTTTGAATAGCTTTATTAGTAATTAATGTTGTTTCATTAGTAGAACAGTATTTTGAAAAAACCAAAGTACATAATTATAATTGTTTAAGACATGAAAAATGTCATATTTTCTCTACAGTTTCATTATCCTCAGATATCGTTGTGTACCCTGCAGCTGCAGTTAGCCAGGGTTTGACAGAGTCACAGCCATTCCCACCTTTAGTGACTTCTACTGCTCTGGGAACTACAGGAGATAGCACAAGTGTAATAACATCAGCTCCAACAGAGAGTGCTCATACTGAGAGAATGACTGTTACCTCAGCACCCAGTTTGGCTATCTCAGATGTACTGGAAACAGTAACAGAAGCTCATCAATCATCAGTCACCCCCATGGAACTGGATTCTAGTGAGTGTTACCATGAAAAAAAAATAGTGTTTCTTGTGCTAAGAGAATACAGTTTTGAAAATTACAATCAAGATAACTTTCCCTCAAAGGAAAGTTTACTTTTTGTAGACCTCAGTTATCTATGCTGTTTCCCTTTCCACATTTTTAATTGTAACTTTTATGCTGTTCAAATTGTTTCCCATATTGTTTATCTACATATGTAAATTTCTTTATATGGAATAAATGAAATCAGTCCAAATTTACTTATAAAATTTAATGTTAAGTTAAATCTGGTCATTATAATTTAGGTGTTACTAGATAATTGTAGAATGTTTGTAGAACAAAATGTATGCAAGAAAGATATTAGGATTTGAAGACCCTGCTCTTTGCTTTATGCATGTGTAAATTAAGCACTTTACTCGTGTTTCTGCTTATAATGTTACATTTAACTATCTGTCATCAGGCTCTGGACCCAGAGCTTCACTTGCTAAAAAAGAAAATGAGGAAGAAGAATTGACACTTCCTCGACTTAGTGAGGAGCTTCACTTGGACGAACTTTGGGAAATGTTAAGTGAATGTTTGAAGGAACTAGCCGACACTCCTGATCACCATGCTGTGTTGGTTTTGCAGCCTGCTGTGGAAGCATTTTTCTTAGTCCATGCTTCTTCCACGGAAAAGGATACTCCACCAAGGTAAACGGAAAGTTTTTATAATGCTGACAACATAAGAAGGAAATACAACTAAGACTGAAAAAGTAAAAAAGGGAAAACATGATCAGCTTTACAATATTATTTCCTTGTATAGACTTCTATCACCTTTCAAACAATATCTTCAATAGCTTGTACTTTAAAAAGGGTATTTTGAATTTAAACTATTTTGCACAAGTCTTTAACAGAAAAGTTGACAATTTATCTCTCTCACTATAGGTTGGTTGAAGTGCACACTTCACAAGTTTTAATTCTCTCAACATGGGCTCAGTTGATTTTGCCATCCACGTAACCTCTTAGTACTCATTTAGTCTTTATAGTTTTGATACTACTAACTTTTAATTGTATTGCCCCAGGTAACCTTTACTGCACATGACACAAGGTTTCAGTGTCTTACATTCAAAATTTTATTAAACTACTTTTTGTTTATGTTATACCAATTAGAATAGCATAAAATCTTAGCTAATAACTCATATTTTAATAGTATACAAGTTTTACGTTCTTAATTCTACAAGGCAATATTTAAAAAAATCCTGAATTTCCACTAGTGTTACCCACATGACATATTTTCTCTTAGCATGTCATCATCCATATTTTATCCATCACCCCTCGAAAATGTACAAAATTAAAAGTAAAATACTGTCTATAAAATTGGTATTGCTCAGACCAACCATAATTTTTATAGCCTTCAATTTTGTTTGGCTACAGAGCTATTGAATAGAAAATTAGACCCCTCCTGCCACATCCTCTCTTTCAGAATTTGTTGATAGTTCTCTGTTAGGTTTAATTATTTATTGCCTATAACCAATAGAAAGTCAAGGTTTACATCTATCAAATGATGTATTGTACAACGTCATGTTCTGAACAGTTAGATGTCAATTTCACTCAGAGTACCAGCATTGTTCGTGTGGGAAAAGTAACAACTAGCTTGGATGAATTTGTAACAGCTCTTGTCACATAGTCAGAAAGCCAGGAATAGTTTGAGAGGTAGGTGAATTTGTCTACTTTTTTGCATGTTATTAGACTATATTCTTTGGTGCATTATGTAATCAAATGAAAATTATTAAGTGCATTACTATCTATAGTATAAAAAATTAGGGTTAACTCTCTTCAAAAATCAAACAGCAAGAAGATTGGTTAACTATTTTATTTCTTGTTTTCATGTTTATTCTTCATGTCTAATTATAAACATAACTAAAATGTAAAAATAGGGATCCTTTTAAGTTTATTAAGATTGGATTAGGTAAAATAAATGATAATAATATTATAATAAAAATGTTTCACGAGGCATATGCGAGCAGCTCATGTGTAATGTAATTTGTTATCAAGTTGCGTGTTCCCCGAGTGATTTACAACTTATAATGGTGCCAATAGTAATTAGACACAGTTCAAAGGACAATAAAACAATAAAATTTAATTACAAGTAGATGTATACGTTTACGAACTTAGAGCTACTTAGGATAAACGAATGTAGTTTCAGGTTACAATTTAAAGTCATTCTAGAAAGAAAAAAAGGGTAATTTAGGTTTATCTTGAATCTTTTTTTTTGTGGTTATAAGGTTGGTCAAATTGACTGATCCTGTTTTGAGATAGGGGTAGAGAAAATAGAGATAAATTATAAAGTTTTACTGAAGAAAAACGTTTGAAATGCATTTAGGAGGTTTTAGGGATTACACAAAGGAAATTTATTTATTCACTAAAATATGATTTTTTGTATGTGAAAGACATAATATTAACTGAAAGACTGCCAAATTTTGTGAAGATATACACACTAAAGTGATAGTTAGAAGTATTAAATCAATAAATACTTTAAACGTGTATAAAGAAATCACATGGTCATTCAAATAGACCGAGCCCGTGTTGAAAGAGTTAAATGAAGAACACGACAGTGATGTTGGTCAAAATAACAAGTATTAAAACATAATGACAGAAAATGGAATAGTCATTTTAATCGAACCACTTCAACTGGTATTTTTTATTTGTGTTTTTCACACAATTTTAAACCTTAAAAATATACAATTTATAAAGAAATATTTATATCCTTCAACTTCAATTTAATGTAAAAAATTTAAAATACTGTTCGAACTGAATACATTTTTTTCTTGGTTAGCTGAGCCTTGAACTACGTCAGAGCATAGTACATGTTATATTATAATTATTTATCTTTTTTTATTTGTAGTCACATCTTTGAGTTAATTTATTTGTTCTAAGTTCAATAAATAAGTAGTGAAATCATGAAACATACCTGAAACTCTCCAATTCGCTTCCCAAATTGTTTTCTCTGATGAACATAATCAAATGTGACATCACAGCAAGCCTGCATTATTCTGAAATGAAGCAAAACATTACCATGCATTTTCAAATGTTGTTTTTACATTTTATTTTACCATACACTCATTTCAACTTCAAAATGAAAGTTTTGATTATGAAGAAAAAATATTTAACTAGTGTGATTTGAAACTAATATCCATAATAAACAAGATGACTCTGCAAAATGCCTAGAAAGGTTCAACAGTTCTATAAAGTTGAGTACCATCAAATGTGACACTAAGATTAATGTAGCATTATCCAGATGATTTTATGTGCAACTTATACATGAACAGTAATGTTTCTAACAGCATCCACCAGTCTCCAGACAGTTTATATGTAACTTTCAATCTGTGTATAATCAATAACAAGTTTCTATGAAAACTTTGGCAGATCTACATGTAACTACCAGTCTTGATGTGCTTCACATGTAATTTTCACACTGTATTTTATTATTATTATTATTATTCACAGCTTATTTTTGGCAGCCAATAAAATTAATTTTTTTATAGGAAAAATGTATAAGAAGGTAACTTTAATTAATCAACTCAAACTTATGACTTAACTATATTTTATTATCTGTCCATTTCTGGAAATGCTCCCTTATATACACTTATACGACATGAATAACCAATTGGAAGCTCAGAATGTATTCCTAGTGGCTTGCTCAGCAATTTCAATGGACTTGGCACTATTTCTTTTTTTTTGAACCAATATTTCAATGAGGTAGACTATATAACATAAAACGACAAAAGTGTACAACAATACAACAGTGTAAAGTTTTTTTTCATCTGCAAATAAATTTGAAAGATGTCTTTTAGATTTAACTTTTTTTCTCTTACCCAACAGGTCCTGCTGCCAAAACGAGTCGTTCATAATCCAATCCATTCATTAAAACATACACTCCTTTGTTTACTTCTTTCACCAAGTTTTCAGCTGAAATAGAAAAAAATATACTTGACTGTAATGGCTATTGCTATATCCCCATTCTCAAATATAAGCAATCAGTGTAGAGTTAAAGAAAAATGTAACAATCTGTTCAATACATAAACTAAAAAGCAGAGCACTTTCATTAAGATTATTTTAACAACTACAAAAATAATATTCTTCCAAAAAAAAATAAATAATGACCATTTCCGAAGCCATTAGACAATTTCATTAAAATAATGAATAATCTGTTTCAATCTGTCAAACTAGTTCATTGACTACACACTATATTGTGGCTTTTTGTCACTAAAAAGTGATAGTGTCTCATCACACAATCTTTAGTACATTCCATGAAAATGAGAGAACGCTTTTCCATACAAATTGGAAAATTTCATTCTACATTTTATTTTTACTATAGTTATATACCAATATCGTCAGACACATCAATTATTTTATACATATTACCAGACTGACATAATTCTAATGATAATCTTGAGTGACTTTCAAGTTTAAAATAAATAAAAAAGGCTTCAAAATAAACTGGAAAAATTCATGCTAACTTTACCCCAACTCATCATTTGCAGTGCCATATATCTCATATACGTTTTTTTTCTTAATGCTTCTAAAGTTCTATAAGTTGTAAAATTTTAAAATTATTGTCAAACTAGACACATTCTGTAGCATGCCAGGTCATAGCTGTATTAGCAGGTATTTTACATAATTCAGCAGTCTTAAGTGTGGCGTAATGATATTAATATAATTGAAGGCCAACCTATGCTACTAAGTGAAAGATTGTATGATGACCTGAACAATGTTTTACCTTCACCTTCATTAAATGGCTAAAAGTGCACATTCTTTTCTTTGTTTTGAGTATCCAGGATGTATTATCAGAAAATTTGGAAAAACAAGTTGTTTTAATTAAAAAACACAAGTTTTTAAAACAATGATCACACACATAACCTTATTAACTTTGCCATTCCTATTTTCAACTATACTTTTATGCCTTTGTATACTGAATTTCATAATTTCCTTCCAAGTTAAAGATACAGACTGAAGAAATTTTCAGTAAAATTAATTTTTTCATATCTAGGTATTAAAAACAAAAAATCCAACCTAATAATTTGTATATTTTTAAACACAAAACTGCACAATAAGTTATTTGTGCTCTATTATACTCCATAACACAGTGCAAAAACAACTTAGTGTTAATCACTGATTACCAATATGTGACACACTCAAGAAACTACAATAATGCTTTCTTTACCAGGAACTTTGCAATCTTCAAATACCAATTCCACTGTAGGGGAACCTCTCATTCCAAGTTTGTCCAAGGTTTGGGCTACACTGAAACCAGGCATGTCCTAAACCACAAAGCATTTGTTAAACTTCCAAAATAGTTAAAAACAAGCAAAAATCACTAAATGCTCTAAACAAAATCATAAATAATAGATATGTTAATAAACTAATCCAATCTTAATTGTTTAATATTTAATCCTTCCTAATCAAACTGTCTGTTCATCTACAAATCATCTGGTAACCTTGTTTCAGATTATTTTTTCTACATGTCAAGTTGCATCCATGTGGAAAAGGTACAAAACTGATACAGACCCAAAGTAATGAGTTTATCTATATGAATCAACTTAAAAAAAATTCATGTGGTTTTATGCAGGCAAGGATATAGACAAGAAAATATAAAAAAAAACTATGGTTTAACTAGGGTACTGAACATAAAAAAACCCAAAGACATCATAAAAAAAGAACATAATACATCCTCAATGTTGTGAAATTCTGTGTACTTGTACAACAGACAGTGTTCTACATTTTGTTTCTTACTTTTTTATTTTGAAAAAAAAATGTTCTGAATTTGTTTCTTACCATATCTAAGTTATACTTCTTAACATTGCAATTTCAAAACTGTTTGTGTGTTTATGGATTTATAATGCATCATACAACATTGTTATTAACATAACATCATAAGTTTCTCTAAGAGTCAGTCCTCTCAGTGAAGTACAAATAGTGATTAGAGTTAGGCAATTTAATCAACAGAATTGATTACCTATGAGCAGAAATTATATTAATTAGTGTCACTTAAACTAATTGATTAATCATAATTTCAATTATACAACACTTGATTAGTTGATTACAAAAAAAATATAATAATAAAAATTATTATTTCATATTATTACTGTTTTTGGTTATTCCAACAATCTATTAATTGAAATTATGATTAAATCAATTGTCACGAAAATAATCAACTATTTGAAATTAGGGTTCCAATTATTGCTATATTTTATTATTCCATCTACTTATGTAATCGAAATATTGTCACCAAATTTGCTCCCCCTGTCTTTGTTATAACAAAGCTACTAAGGTGTTATCAGCCACTGTCACTAATTTTGAACTGCTGACTAATGGGAAGGCAAGTGTCTGGCAGCATCCACCCCAAGACTATATTTGTGGTTGCTGAATTGCTGAAGACAACTGGCTCAAAGCACCAGCTGCCAAATTTATCTTGTTGAACTACTGACAAAAGGGAAGGAAAATGTCTAGCAGTACCCACCATTAACTTTTGTTTTTTCTTGTAGTTACCAATGGCTTTAGGAATACTGTACTAATTGATTAATGAGGCCATTTATTTATAAATGAGTAAATAACACTAATCATTCAGCTCTAGACAGTATACAAAGCCATTACCCTTTTTGACTGTAACTACCACCAACCATGAACAGGATTTTTATTATGTCAAAGAGTAGGTGGATGATCCTACTTACCCTGTCAGTGGGAGATAGATTGAATGCTGAACGTTCAGCATCATTTCTTTAGGCATGGTTCCCTTAGAGTGTTTAAGGGTATACCCTCCATAAAACTTTGAAAATCAAGACAATCAGAAATACCATTTCCTGCATTTTCTTGCCTTTTTGAATCAACAACATGACCAGGCAACAAATGTATCAATTTACATTATAAATTTATGCATTTCAGCTTTATTTGCATTATAAGTGTTTTAAGCACTTTTACTATAAACACCATAACTTTGTTCATTTTGTAATTCTGACAATGCCTCTGAAATAGGTAGATCTAGTCATACAAATTTGAAAATGTTTATATTTTTGTGTGTGTTGTAATTTATTGAATTAATCAGTAATAGTATAATCATATTTCTTTACACAGACATGAGCAGAGAAAGAGCATTAAGTGTTTACAGTTGACTGTCCAACATTATGTATATAATTGATATATGATTGTAGGATGTAAGTAATACTTTCCTCAGTTTTTTTTCACTCAAAAGCATTAGAAATACCTTTAAAATTACTTACAAACTGGTGACAAAATCCTCCAAGGTAAAAAGGTAGCAAAAAATACATATATAAAACCAAAGTAGCTAACTATATGAATTATCATTAGCTGAAGTAGATGGGTGATTTATTCAGTACATGGTTTCAACTGAAAACCCTGAATGAATTAAGGTTTTATTGCTAATCAATGGGTTCTAGTCACGCTTGCAAAACAAGTTTCTTGACTAAATTTTCTGTTTGGAATACAATTCAATGTTTTTTAATTGTACTACATGGTTTGTAAAACTAAAAGATCTATAAAATTATTATCAGGCAATAAATCATGAAAAAACATAAAGGGTGGTTAAATAGGTTGATGCCAGGGACATTTTTTGTTGAAAAAAAATATTTTTTGGAAAAATCCTAACATTTTATAATTAACAAGTTAAAGTAATTTATTACACCAGGACATTCAGTCTTGTGGATGACAAAATAAACTGAAATAACTTTTGTCAAAGCATTATTTTGGTAATCATTAAAGGAGGATGATTGTATTGAAAGCCACTATGTAGTCTATTTTGATACACATACACAGTTGCCCTACCTTTTCTATAATAAAGGCACTAATTCCATGCTGTTGTTTTTCTGCTTTTGGATTTGTTTTGGCATACACAAACAGCACATCTGCTACTGACCCATTTGTAATCCAAAATTTGTTGCCATTTAGTATGTAGTAGTCCCCTAAAAAGAAAGTACAAGATGAAATGAAAATTAATAATCCCAAAAAATTAGCTTACAAGTTAAACTACTTTAATAATATTTTACCAACTGGTAATTCAGTTACTTAAGTTATGGTACATTGTGTGGGTATGTCAAAAATTAACAATACATCAAAAATATGGCATAGCTGATATAATAGCAAGGAATCGTAATAACAATGTATTTATACTTGCATTAACTCTCTCAACATGGGCTCGGTCATTTTGACAAACTATGTGAGCTCGTTGTACTAGTTTAAAGACTTTATAGATTTAATACTTCTAACTTTCAATACAATGTGTATATTTTCACAAAATTTGGCAGTCTTTCAGTTAATATTATGTCTTTTACATAAAAAAAAAAATAATATTTTTAGTGAAGTACTTTTAATAAAATAAAGATTTGTCCATGAATATATTGAGTATTTGTTTCAAATAGTCAGTGTGCAAAGTAATTTCCATGCTAAAATTAAAAATACTTTTCCTCATCTCAAATTTCCTTTGTGTAATCCCTAAAACTTCCTAAATGCATTTCAAATGTTTTTTCAGTAAAACTTTATAGTTTATCTGTTATTTTCTCTACCCTATCTCAAAATGGGAGCGGTCAATTCACCTGACCTTTTAAACACAAACACACACAAATCTAAATTACCCTTTTTTCTTTCTAGAATGACTTCAAATTGTAACATGAAACTACATTCATTTATTCTAAGTAGCTGTACATTTGTAACAGTATACATCTATTTACAATTAAATTTTATTGCCCTTTGAACCATGTCTAACAACTATTGGTACCATTCATAAGTTGTAAATCACTCGGGGAACGTGCAGCTCACGTTACGCTAACAAACTACATTACACACGAGCTGCTCGTGTGTGCCTTGTGAAACATTTTTATTATAATATTATTATTATTTATTTTACCTAATTTAATCTTAATAAATTTAAAAGGATCCATATTTTTATATTTTAGTTATGTTTATAATTAGACAAAGAATAAACTTGAAAAACAAGAAATAAAATACTTAACCAATCTTCTTTTTTCCTGTTCTTGGTTTTCGAAGAGAGTTAACCCTAATTTTTTTTATATAATAGATAGTAATGCACTTAATTTTTATTTAATTAAATAAGGCACTAAATAATATAGACTAATAACATGCAAAAAGTAGACAAATTCACTTACATCTCAAAATTTTCCCGACTTTCTAACTATGTGACAAGAGCCATTATAAATTCATCCAAGCTAGTTGTTAAATTTCCCACGGGAACGATGTTGCTACTCCGAGTGAAATTGACATTAACTATTCAGAACATAATGTTATACAATACGTCATTTGATAGATGAAAACCTTGACTTTCTATTGGTTAGAGGTAATATATAATGAAACTTAAGAGAGAACTATCAACAAATTCTGAAAAAGTGAATGTGACAAATGGGTGTGGCAGGAATGATCTGATTTTATATTCAATAGCTCTGTAACCAAACAAAATTGAAGGCTATAAAAATTATGGTTGGCCTGAGCGATAATGATTTTATAGTGAGTAATTTACATTTAATTTCATACTTTTTTGAGGGGTGATGGATAAAATAGGGATGATGACATGCTAAGAGAAAATGTGTCATGTGGGTAACACTAGTGGAAATTCAGGATTTTTTTAAATATTGCCTTGTAGAAGTAAGAACTTAAAACTTGTATACTATTAAAATAGGGATTATTAGCTAAGATTTTATGCTATTCTAATTGGTATAACATAAACAAAAAGTAGTTTAGTAACATTTTGAACGTAAGACACTAAATCCTTGTGTCATGCACAGTAAAGGACACCTGTGGTGCAAGGGTTAATGTCACAAAAATAATAAAGTTATGGAAATTAGTGTTTCTGTTTATTACTGTTTTGGATTATTCAAACTATCTGAATCTCATGTGAGACTGAAGATTATTTTATTGGAAAACTCCCCTGATTATCCAGCTCTAAAATTAGCAATAAGAATTTAACTAAATCTGAAATGGCTATAAAGCTTATGTGAGCATACCTTTCATTCTAGGAAACTAACTATACTAATGTATGCATTCTATTTTCTAATCTCTAAATTTTTGATATTTAATTGATTTCCACGTAATTTCAATATCTTGCTATTTCATAAATACTCATACAGTAGTTAGTTCTTCATTTTTGATAAGGATGAAATCCATGAAACTGTATTGGGAATTTGCATTGTCACTCCTATACAGTGTAGATTAGCCATTTAGTTAACAATGCAGCAGTCTTCTGATTGCTGTGACAGCATGCAACCTTTCCTATGCTTGTATATATAAGTAGTGATCATGTTTTATGCAAATTGGTACGATGACAATTTCTTATGAAACTGTTTCTTTCTTTCTTTTGAGATATATTTGAAAAGTTACTTAATGGCTATATGTGCTAGCCACACCTAATTGAGCTGAAACATGAAAGGGAAGGCAGATAGTCAACAGCATTCATTAAAAATTCTTGGGCTACTTTTGTTCCGATCAGAAAAATTAGGGTTTGGCTGTCACCCTTATAATGCACTCACAGTCCCAAAGAGGAGAGAACAATTTATATTTTCAGCAACAGGACATGAATGATGGACCCACAGAATCAGAGTCCAACATGCTAACACTTGTATCACACTCAGCCTAATAACTTTGTATTTCTATTATGGAAAAGGTATTTTTTGATTAATGAAATGTTTATCAATAGTTTGCAGTTGTGTTTTTATAAACTCAAGGATGCAGTTCAGATTAACGTTATAAAAACTGTAACACTGCATTTATATTGTTTACCAGCAATATGGCATATGAAAGATGCTGTAAGTTGTGGCCTAAATGAAGCCTGTATAAACCTCAGTAATTCCTACAAAATTGTAATTAGAGTTATTTCTCTACATAAAGTAACACCATGTAAGTCATTATAAGTTTAATTTATGAGTCTTGGGTTTGGTAATAAGCCAAACCCAATATTTTCACATTTAAAGCAAGGAACCATTACACAGCTTATTAAGCTGTTGTAATCATTATCTTTCCTGTTGTATGTCAAGTAGTGCAACATTCTGCTAGTCTGGAAGATACATGTAGTGATCACTGGCTAGATCACATATGGCATAACACAGTTAACACTAATAACTATACCTGCTTTAAACAAGTCAAACTCCCTCCCTTTCCACTACTTTATGTTGCAGTTTCTTGTAGCAAAATATAATTCATGAAGTAAAACTGAAATGACTGACATGTAATCATCAATGGTTAAAGAAAATTCAATGTAGAATCCTAAAACACTAATGATGAAATTAAGCTAGTCATTTCATTTACATAACAACATTGATCTATTCACAATCAATTGCATTTGGTATTAATCTTTTCTGTGAATGAAATTAAAAAAATGCATTTTTTTAAGAAACTACATTAATATATTTATATACCAATCATAATTTATCAATACCATAAATATTTACAACAATGTTTCTTTAGAAGTAGAGTTCCCCAATGTGTACATACATAAATAAATATGCATAAAAGAAGAGAAAAAACAATTATAAATTTCAAATAAAAATAATGAAATTGTGAGATAACAAATTCTGTTCTATTTTTTTTTTTAAATGACCATGCTTGTTTTTATTATTTTCTTCTATCAAATAGTTTATCTACACGTTTTTAGTTGCATTAAAATGGTAACTCACCTTCTACATAATCATTGGTATTTTGATTTGTTTGTTTGAAGTTATGCACAAAGCTACACAAGGGGCTATCTGTGCTCTGCCCACCATGGGTATCGAAAGCCAGTTTCTAGCATTGTAAGTTGGCAGATATACTGCTGTGCCAATGGGAGGGCTCATATTTTGAGTAAATATATATGTGTGTATGATGAAACTGACACCAGCTTCCCTAGTGCTGATGTACAGATAATATTAATGTAGCAGAAGAGTATGTAAATTTATTATCACACAAGGCTGTAAAGTCGTGACCTACTCTGTAAATAAATACCCTGCCAGAAGCTTCACTAAAAGAGAGGGAGAGAGAGAGAGAGAGTCATGAGATAGTTATTGTTGTTTGTCACTTGATATCGAAGGGTATCATCTGAATATTGTATTTGCTATATTTTGTATTGGAATTAGGTTTTTCTTTCTGGTTCTTGTTCCTGATTCCATTATTATTGATTCATTATTATTTATGATAAAATGTTTATTAATAATGGTGTGAAGTCCTGGCCAGGCATTTGTTTATTAACTGTGTCAAATTTATTTCTAAGTGTTGTTGTAGTGAATAAACTGTGTTTTTGTTGTCAAACCCTAATTGTAGCTGTGTGTTCATTTTAGACTGAGGTTTTTATAGTTGTTCTGTAGTTGTAAGTAACCTACAATATTATGGTAACATGTAGGTTTTTAGAGTTGTTCTGTAGTTGTGAGTAACCTACAATATTATGGTAACATGTAGGTTTTTATAGTTGTTCTGTAGTTGTGAGTAACCTACAATATTATGGTAACATGTAGGTTTTTACAGTTGTTCTGTAGTTGTAAGTAACCTACAATATTATGGTAACATGTAGGTTTTTATAGTTGTTCTGTAGTTGTAAGCAACCTACAATATTATGGTAACATGTAGGGTTTTTTTACACTGGTATTGCACTGTAATATTAGTACATGAGGCAATAATAGGTGGTACAAACCAACTTCTTTTTCAAAACTTCGATAATAAAGTACTAGTCTTGTATACTTTGTCTCTGATAATGTGTCTAACAATTTATGATTTGTTTTTGTACCTTATTACCTTATATTGTCTCATTCTGTTAGTTTTGTTGTTTAGTTCACATGTTAGGCATATATGAGACAAGTAGTGTTACCCTATATCTTTGCCTTAAGGAAACTTGTGCACAGATGTCACTGTGCTAGGAGAGTACTCAGAACTGCTGAACAGCTGTAAAATATTACATTATATCATAATGTAGGTGGTTAGCTTGCCAGTTTGCCATTTCTTCTGAATCATGAACAGTTTAATTTAAAAGAATGATAATGAATAATATATGGTTTTAAAATAAGTAATATAGTGTTAAGGCTTCCTTACCTAAATTCTGATGTGTTGTGACATTAAAAATAGATGAAAAATTACGTTTCACTAACTTAATCAAATTCACACCATAACAGTTATTGTCAAACAGTTTGCTGATGTAAATAGTGTCTCAATCACTGCTGCCTCTTGTATTCCAGCTAGCCTGAATAACCCTGGTACTGGGTGAAAGGCCTCATCAGCACTACATATACTAGAGTTAGTATGGTTGACATATTATTATATGTTCTTCTTTCCTTTCATTCATAAGATCTTATTAATTCTAGAAGGTTACCTATGATAACATGTGGTGTTTCAACATTGCACAACAATTCTGAGTAACCATCTGGAGTATTATGTAGTGTTTTAAAGTTGTTTAGCAGTCAGTAGTAACCTTCTAGAACATATAACATGTATTGTTTAAATTTTACATCAACTGCTTTATGAACATATTGAGACAGGATGGGTCCCTGCTCAAAATATTTAGGTAAATAAGACAATAACTTATTTTAAAATCAAGTTTTGAGATACTTTATTTACAGATTTTATCCAAGTAGTTAATTTGGTCTGTATTTCAAAACAGAATCAAGAGTACTTCTGAGCTTTTTACATCTGAAATTTTAGTCTCCGGCAAGTGCAATTGTTTGCGAAAAACTGGCAATGTAATTGTGTTTACACTAATGTAAACATAATGTATTTTTAAAAGGAACTCGTATTTAAAAGATAATTTTGCTCCATAATCCAACCAAAACTCTTGACTGTTTAAAAAATAAATGCAACCAATGAATGAAAATGTTTGATTTTTATTTTTCGATCTTCTGCAGCCAAGCAAGTATGTTATATTTCAAATTAGAATCTACATTTAAGGTTAGCTTTGCTCTCTAATACAATCAAAGCTCTGAAAGTTTACACAATAAGAATGGGCAAAACAAATTTGAAAATTATTTATTTTTGATTCACAAGTAAAGATTTTGATCTCACCTTTCTTTTCAGCTTTCAATTTCATGGAGACAACATCAGATCCAGAGCCAGCTTCACTCATAGCCAGAGCTCCAATATGTTCTCCACTAATCAACTGTTTGAAAAAAACATTCATACATTTATAATAACTCATCATGTTATGAAAACATGTAGATTCAAAAACAAAAAAAAACCCTATAACCCAAGTTTGCATCTGATGAAGAAAGGCCCATCTTTTGACAATGCTTTGGTTACAAGGTTTTGCTTTTTTTTTGTCTTTTATATATAATAAGCAAGTCTTAAAAATAATTTTTCAGATTATTATTATTATTATTATATGTTGCAATATTAGCAGTAGAAAATCTTACAAAACAAATACTCTTAATCAAGAAGCAAAAAAGTGCTCTTAACAATCTCTTGGTATTCCTAATTTAATGTGTAAAATAATTAAAGTGATACCACATGGCTTCAGTTATATATTATACAAAAGCTAAGATCACTTAGATATACATTCAAGGCTATGATAATATCATTAAATTTTTGTTAATAATAATGATGTATAATTTATTTTTTTATAGTGCTAACTGTAGTTGAGAGCTCCTTGTTTCTTGCATGTAAAAAAACAAATAAAACAGATTTATTATTATTATTATTATTAATTACCATTCAATATGTCACCTAAGATTTTGTCAGGGGCCAATCTACTTAAAGCAACATGTAGAGATAAACCTAAATATGCAGAAAGGCAAAAGTAAAGGTTAGAGTATTTCTAATCACTTGCATGCACAAAAATAGTGGAGTAACAACTCTCTTTCTTAAAATAAGTGATAAGTAGTTCTAAAGACAGCAATATTTTCTCAATAGGTAAATAAATGGGTCCCAACATTCTCCTACATATAAAATAAGACCACTTCACAAAATTAGTCTTTTATTTCCCTTCACAAGATATATTTTAATCTATATTTAATGAACATCCCTTCAATTTAAATTATAGCTAAAATATTCACATTTAAAACGAATTTCAGAAAACGTAATAAGATTTTTCACATGCTATTTTTCAAAAAAATTTTACTCATACTTGAAAACTTAAGTGAAACCTTGGAGATTTCTTCAAAAACATTTTGCCATAAACCTCTACCAAACTTCTAGTTTCCTTTCCACTCTTTGTTATTACTGGTCAAGCAAACAAGTTAGCCTGGCTTAAAGAGCAAATTTTGCATTAATTTCATTAATTTTCTGTACAGGTGAAGAAAAATTATCTATGGGCCTATGACATTATATTTTTCAACCTACGTGTTTACAGTTATATCCTTCTGTTCCCATAGAAGAAGATATTAATATTTTAGTGAAAGCTAATGTGAACAACAGAGAATATCTAGAATTATACAACATCTCTGTGTGTAATAGTATCTACATTAATTAACACCAAACATCAAACATTTGGTGCCTAGGCAGCAGCCTATGTTGCATATCCTTAACAGCTGGCATGCCCACTCAGAGGCATCATCTCTCAAAACCCAGGCTATTTGATTTGTAGATGAACACACTAACTACTATAATACAATTCAGTCACTGTTCATTCCATTTAGATATGGGTATAAAAGTTTTGAATGAAAAAACAAATGTGTTTCTATTTATATTTTTCTTAGCTGTTTAACAAACAGAGACAGGCTATTGTTACTAACATTTAATTTAGAGTAAACTGTTATTGAAAGTAAATTGTGCTCCTGACAAAGCTGTCACACTAAATATTACATAGTAATAAACTTAAGTATAAATACAGTTAATATTAACATCAAAAGAAAGGACTGTGTTACAAACAGCAAGACCAAACTTATGATGAAATAGAATAAAATAACCAAAATACAATGCTGTATATCCAAAACAAAGTTACCAGGGTACAGACTATAATGTGAGATATTAGATGTGTTCTGGTTTTTGGAAGATACAATATATATATATAATGTATCTGAAACATTGTATGATTATTTGTTGGTGTAAGTAAAAAATTTTAATAATGAGAAAATTTTAATGTATAAGTATAAATGACAGAACTAAACATACATTTTTGTTTTGTGATTTTAACTAAGTCAAAATATAATTTTTGAAATTAAATAAGCAATATTTATTTAGGACGTCTGATCATAGAAAATCAGAATTTTTTAACAGCCTTTCAAATATCAACAAATGCTTTTATCTATGACCAATCATGATCTAAAAAGAAGTGAAACTCCCTTGCCTACAATTGAAAACAAACATTTGATTTTTGTTCTACAATGATAATGCATACATTTAGTTCAGGACAATAAAAAAAATGTGTTGTTTTGTAAGACTAAGCATTTAGGACAAGGTTAAATGTGATGACAAATGTTTTTAAGGCAAGCTAAACAAAAGTAAAATGAAAAACACACATGATATGGTGTTGACTTCTTGTTCTCGACTCCCAGTAAGTGCACCTATTCATGATCTCAAGTTTTCATTTAAAAGCATGAGAATAATGTGCTTAATTTACCTTAGGTAAATATTTTTTCTTCTGTTCTTTGTTCCCATTTCTAGCTATCTGATTGACACAGAGGTTTGAATGTGCACCATAACTAAGAGATATGCCTGGAGAAGCTCGAGACAGTTCTTCAACAATAATGCAGTGCTCTAAGTAGCCAGAACCTAAGCCACCATCTTCAGCTGACAAATAAAATATGTGTGTATATAACAAAACCTTATTCAAAATTTTCACTTTTAAAACTTCCATACATTTAGAAGTTATAGAAATACTTCCCACTGTATCTGAATAACTGGTTCACAAAAACCAGTTATTAAAGGTAATTTTAGATAAGATCTTTGACAAGAAAGGTAATGCTGAGTGGTATGAATGGACATTTTTGTGGGTGACTGATGAACTTAATGGTTCAAAGAATATTCTCTTACTTTGATCATTTCTACAAATTAATTATAAATGTAGTCTTCATTCCTAGCATATACATCAAAAATAGGACATGTTAAAGTGTATACTTCTACGTATCTTTTATTAAGAATCTCTTTAATTCTTTGAAATTACTTATCAAATTTTTGAAGATAATTTAAGTATTAGAAAAATAAGACCAATTACTTTATCTGCTTTCAGTACAATAATTTAAATTTGATTTTTATTCAAGAAACAGATAAAAAAAGTAATCCACTTACCAGGGACAGTCACTCCCATTAAACCCAAGTCTCCCAATTTTTTCCAAAATTCCTACAATGAAAGACAAAGATAAATTTTAACGTAAAAATATGATAATTTTTATTATTAGGGTATTAATTCCTAATTTGTTATACTGTTTTGTTATATTTTTCATAACTGCTTTTATTCCAGTGTAATTTGGTACAACCTTTGGTATATTCAATGTTTTAATATCAACCACACGTGTGCTATGTAGTTGAATTAGTATCACTATTAAGCTTGTCTTATGTTAAAATATTCATACATATATATATATAATTTACCAAGTTACTGATGTATTATTTAATATACAAAAATGAGTAACTTTATATATGATTAGAAAAGTAATGTATTTCTTAGTTTAAGAGTTGGTAACTTCAAGTAGGTTATTAAACTACTGGTTAGGGTTGTTAATGATATTAAAATAGAGTATTAAAGTAGAGACAAATTAGAGGTGACATTTAATTATGATAAGTTGAATGTTATGCATTTGGAATATCATAAATTACACATATAATTTAGAAGAAGTCCTCTTAATTATGTGGATGAGAAAAAAGTATCTCAGAGTACTCGTTGATACACTTCTTAAGCCTTCAAGACAGTGTTTTATTGCAAGTCATACAGCTAATAGAATTTTTTGGTTGTGTATATGTAATATATACATAAAGAAATATTGAAAAGTCATAAGAAGCCATTATTTTGTTATACAAGTCACCAGTTAAGCTTCATTTGTGTGCAAATATGTTCCCCTTATCTTGAGAAGAACAGTGGGATACTGGAGGGGTTTAAGAGAAGGGCTAGGGCTACTAGGATGGATGGGTTGCCTTATAAGGCTATATATGTTGAAATATCTTACCTTGTTCTATCTTGAAGCAAAGTAATAAGATTATTGTGTCAAAGTTGTTCTTGCTGAATTCCTTAGGTTGACAAGAGATTGTAAATGTCATAAACATCTTCAGTTGAGGCAGTTTTATTTTTCCAGTAAGGTGGAAAATATGTGATACAAGCTGACATATAGTGGTAGAGATTACAACTTTACAGTTTAAAAAGAGGATTGAGGAATATTTAGAAGATCAGTGCTGGATTTAATGATTAGTTTTCTGTTGTTGAGGAGAGTTGGGAATCAGAACATAAAGGATGTGCCAAGAGGCCCCATAATGTATTTATGTCTTTGCAGAGGGACTTACTGTTTTTCTATTGTCTCTTCTTCTTCCAATCACTTTTAAATTGATAGCCATTCCTTCATTTCTCAGCAGATTGACTTGAAAATTTAGGGTTTTACCTTCGTCCAATACACACAGACACTTTGTCATTTTTATAATCAAAGCTTTTAAAGGATTTTACAGAGTCAAAGGCCAAACTATTCCCAAAACATGTATATTTTGAGCCCCTGTTCAGTCATACTTAAAGTAATCAAGATGAAAATTGGCACAAATATAAATTTTCATGTGCCCAACACTTTGACATTAATTGGCCCATTTTGAGTCCTTTTATGGGGGGGGGTCAATTACTTGGCCATATTTTCACAAACAAACAAAAATGATGGACTGGCCTATATTTAGTAATTACAGGAGGCCAAGATGCCATATAATGAATGATTTTAGGGGTTTTGATAATTACTCTGCCATATTTCAGCCAATTCATATGGGATTTGGTACAGAGATACTTTTTCCAGGTCCCATACATATATGTACATAAATGTCCTATATGCTCATTTTTAGTCATTTCATGGGTGGGGTCAAAAGGTTAAATAAACCCATAATCTTAGAAGTTTGGGTCAATTACTTAGCTTTGTTTTGACCAACTTACATGGAATTTGGTAAAAAGATAGTCTTTGCAGGTCCCAAACAGATACATATAATTTTGGAATTTGTCTTTCGCTCAATTCTTCAGCAATGAAAGTATAATTTGGGGTTTTAACGAACTATTCACGTGTATGGGATTTGGTATAAAGATACTTTCTTACAGGTCCCAAGCAGTGATATACAGTTTTCAATTTTTCTGGTGTCAAAATTGATCATGTTGGGATTGTCTGGCAAAGACAGGTTACATTCACCCATGAATGTTGGCTTCTTAATTATAAAAACATGTGTAATGTTCTCATTCACATCTTTGAGACTGTAGGCTTTTAGTTGTCATGGGCTAATTGGAATCTAGAAAGTTCAGCTTACCAACCAGGTTATTTATTTTAATCACTCCAAACTGTACACTACCTGTACAATGTACACTACAATGTTATTGTAAAGTGCAATTTTATGTAGTCCCCATACTTCTGAATAAACTATCACTACCAAATTTAACGTGTTAATGGGCTTATATCTTCCTATACTCAAAAAGTTTGTATTTGAACTTCTGACTGAACACTGACTATGTTTATTTCAATGAACTTAATACAGGTTACTTGTACATTTTTCTTACAAATCAGGAAAAAGTTTTAGCATCATAAGTTTATACTTTTTAATACTATTATATATTGTTTACATACATTAACACTCACTAAAGATGTTGTAGTAACAAAACTCAACATCATTTTCAACCAGCAACTTAACATCATAAAAATTGTTTTTCTAAAGCCCAAGTTCTTATAAATATAATTTACATGAATAAAGCATAATAAATGTTACAAAACTTGATAATCATTAACTGTATGAAGACAAGGCCAAGCAGTTATAGTTATAAACAGTTCTCAACCCATTCTTACAACACACACTATAATACAACTTGCTAATAATAATGCATATGACTCACAATAGTTGAAATAGACCCAATAAAGAAGATTGCATGAGGAACAAAATCACACTCACAACAACCTGGGAAGTTGCAAGAACAAACTATACCCCCCCCCCTCCAAAAAAAGCCTGAAAAAATAAAATATCTAAAAATATATGATATTTTTTAAAAGGTACCAGTGAACTTATCAAACAACCTTTGATAAGGAACCTAATCAAATGCTTTCTGAATATCAAAATAAACAACACCTAATAGATGTCATTATAGAAAGCAAAAAGCCTTCTTACAGGATTCAAAAAAAGATAACTCCTTTCTAAAAAAATACAAAAGTCTCTTTATTAGTTATATTTTTCAAATTTTTCTCACTGATATGAAACAACAGTTTCCAACATCTTACCAATAACAGATATCAAATGAAAGTCTTGTAATTTTTAGAACTTCAATTAACACATTTTTCTTTGGGTAAGAGAATCACATCAGGGATCTCCAGAAATTTTCTTACTCTCCAAACTTTTGAAAAATGAATTTTAAAAGTTCCCAAATGTAAATTATAATTCCTACTTCATATTCCTAAATTTTTGTAAAAAAAAAACAAACAAAACAAAATATTATTCATACTTTTAATAAATCTGAAATATTTTTATGCTTCATCATTAAGCAAATGTGATGGTAAGGAATAATGCCAGTACTTTCAAGTGCAAAAATATTTTGTTAGTGCCACAGATATAAGGCTGAAATAGTATTGTATATTTGAGATACTACAAGATGTGTTGAAATGGTCCTTGTAATTTTAAGTATTTGGGGGAGGGGAGTAGGGTAGTGTCCATTACTTAGGCAAGCATCAAGTACTGGTGAATGGGGGTCATTTAATAATTTCTTAGTTGTTTAATTACTTCAATAGGATTGAGCCAGTAGCTTTAAAGACTTCCACCATTGAGTTCTTCCATGACTATCGCACTAGAACTTTTCAAAGATGTCAAATTCTATTTCTTTTGTGTTTAAATATGTATACACACTTGAAAAGAAAAAAAACAAAAAACTTTTGTAGTCCTTATTAGCCTCAATTATGGATTTTTCTATTTACACTTCTTGTATAGACTTCCATACGAAAGGTTTATTTGAAAACTTATACTGCTTTTCTTATTAATCTTGTCACTGCCATGAGCACACGCTATGTAACTGCTGCTTTAGCCTTGAAAAGTGTGATATTAAGCAAATATTCTGAGAAACAGGTATGTAATAAAATCAAAAACATACAATTCCACATAATTTACAAATTTTTCAAATAAATTCACAAATACTTATTTTATTTAATACTTCTTACAATCTGAAAGTGTAATCAGCAATATAATTTTTAATCCCACATTGCCACAAGTATTCCTTTTTGAAAATAAGCCTGGTATTGGAAGAGCTATTTAACTATAATCATGTCAGTGAAAGAATTACATGTTAATATATTTTATTACTAGCTTTGCTGTCTAAACAATAATAACATGACGATCAACATATAGTTACAAATGTAAGCAGTAGCTTAGGGAAATTTGACCTTTAAGTGACCTGAACTATTTATACACACCAGTGGGTATGATGAAAACATGTGCAACTTCATAGGCAGAAATTCAAGTTTTCAGCACTGCTAAATATAGTTTATCACTTTTTTCAAAATTACATAGTACATGTACATATAATAAAACTTAATACATACTCTGGGCTATTTATTAATCTCTTGGACTTAATGAGCTTTACTAGATACAAAACAAAATACATTTATTTATGAATAATAAAAAATCCATAAAAACTTGAAAAGAAAATTACTCTATACATACATCCAGTAATAATAACACTTGGTCATGTACACTTAACATTTAGTTAGTGTCTAACACTGTGCCCTTAATCACTAAAACAACATTGTGAGACATTAGATATAGTGGTTTTAAAAACACTTATTTCAGTTTAAAGTGTTAAGAATTTCTTACCTTCATCTGAGGAAAACTATTATTTTTGTCAATATCCTGGGCAAAAGGAGAAAGTTCTTTCTGTGCAAACTGAAAAACAGTCTGACGTAGCTGTAAATTATACAAAAACATTAGTTGTTTATATATGTACATGTGCATAGAATAGCAATGAAAATACCTAGACTTCGATAAACTCCTTAATTACTAACCTGTGTATCATTTGAACAAAAGTGAAAAGATTGTAATTTAATAATGATTTCTTTATCTTTGTAATATACTCTATAAAGTTAGAAAAACCTAACTTGATGGGAGGTAACATCAAGGAATCAACATGAAAAATGATTAAGATTTAGAAATATAGATATGGTAAAAAAAAGTGTCATAATTAAGATTCATAACATACGACAGACAACAAGGAAGCATTTTGTCCTTGCACATCCATCTTTCAGAGAATTAAAAACTTAAAGAGGACTGAACTATCCATTATTCATTTTTTTTTTTACCAAAATCCAAAGAACCTGACACAAACAGAAACTCTTAAACAATATGAAAAAACAAAAGAAAACATTTAGATTGGATCACTTGTTTGGTAAAGATATTGATGTTAACAGAATGAATAGCATAATAACAAGGTCATACATCCCCTCAAAAACACGATACAATAATTTTTAGTTAGATTATACTAACAATTTTCGTTGTTTTTAATAGTTATAAATGATATTATTTAAAATGAAAAAGAGGGAGATTTCTTTTTCTTGGCTTTTCTTCTTTTGAACAGAGGACACATCATCAGAACATATGTAGCTGATTGGCTTCTATTTATTTTTAAATTTATCTGTTAGGTGATTTTTGTGAGGCTTCTTTAGTTTATATTTTAATGGATATTGAGATTTTGAACTAATAACATCAATATCTTCTGATTTTTACTGATGTAATTAATAAATATCAAAAACAAACAAACTCTGCTAGATCTATAATATTGTGACTAGAGCTGGCCAATGTAATTGATATAAACATTTACCAGTGAGTAGTGATTACATCAACTAATGTCTCAAACTAAATGATTAATCAATTTACAATTAAAAATTAATGTCACCAAAAATAACCAACTAATCGAAAATAGTGTTTCTAATTATCACTGTTCTCAATTATTCTAACAACTGATTAATTATGATTAAACCAATTGTCACAAAAATAATCAACTAATTAAAATTATTTGTTCCAATTATTACTGTTTTTGATTATTCCAACAATCGATTAATTGAAACTACTATTAAGTCAACTGTCATGAAAATAATCAATTAATGAAATTTCGGATTATTTACTGTTTTCAATTATTCCAACTATCCAAGTAGTAAAATATTACCATTATGTTTGTTTATTGTCTGGCACAAAATTACATAATGGAAGTGGGATATTTTATGATTTGAAGGTCTGGGGTTCAATTCCCATTGCCACTAAACTTGTTTACCCTGTCTCTGTTATTGTAAAGCTACTAAGGCTATCTGCTACTGTCATAAATTTGAACTGCTGAATAAAGGGAAGGCAACTGACTGGCAGAACCCACAGACAACTTTCTTGCTAATTAAGTGTTAAATAAAGTTTAAATTTGCTGTTTGTTTCATATTGTATTATGTTTCTATGTGTTATGTAACTGTATTCTTTAATGTTGTATCAGTAGGTGCAGCTCTGCAGGAAGGGTCCAGGGATCTGGGAACCCATATTTTTTGTTCCAGATATTAATAACTGCATTATTTACTATTGTATAAGCAGGCATGGATTTTGGGGAGGAAGTTCTTGGGAGTTTTGGCCCCCTCCATTTTTTTTATAGAATTTATAACTATTTTTTAATGTTGTATAAGCATGTGCAGATCTAGGGGAGGGGGTCCATGGGGTTGAACCCCATCACCCATTTCTTTCAGAAATAAACTTATTTCATGTTGTATATGAAGGTACAGATCTATGGGGTCTGAACCCCTCCTTTTTTCACTTAATAATAAAAACACACAGATGTCCTTATGCTACCATATAATATGAAGAAGAAAGATTAGAAGTTAGTGTTGTTACTTGATTGGGCTACAATTAAAATAAAAGCTTTTTTGAGGTTTCAGAAATCAATACAGCTGGTGTCTAGAGCAATCCAAGTAAGGCCCCAGCCAATAACTGATTATTTCTAGGCTAACACAACAATATGTAAATTTTCATGTCTTGCCTTTTTCCAGATACTCTAAATATATGTCTAGACTTTTTCATCCAAGTTAGTATTGTTTAGGACACATATAGCTCTTATAATGTAGACTTGTTACAGAATCAATTTTTCATACTGTTTATGTCTAAAATAAGAAAAAGTGCATGTTGTAATGAGTGTTTAAGTAACCACATTAAAAAAAAAAAAAATTAGAATAGACATCCTATTTAGAAATACTATAATTTTCTTTCTAAATGTGGTTATAAATAATTAAAAAGTTTTAAACGTTTGTTATTACCTATTTTTACTTTCATATCAATCACATTACTAGAAATAAATATACAAGCTTTGAAATCACTGGATTATAACCTGACTGAGTTAATCATTTATAGAATATATTAGTGTTATTTTAGCTTTGTTTGACTTATTTAAGTAACTTTAGGACTTTATGCTGAAAGAGTTCAGTGCAGTGTAACTAGCTTTGCTTATTCAAGAAAGGTTCAGCTTGGGTCAGCAAACCAACAAAATGCTGTTAGGCCTCTTATAATTGTGCTACCATCACTTTTAAAATTGAAACCATCACTAAATTGTAAAGTATTATGGTTTCTGAGCTTGATGTCCAAATGAAACAAGAAAATCATATAATTTTTTTAAGATTGTTTGCAAAATGCTAACATAAAAAGCTAACACAGCAGATTTAGCCATTTACTACCACTGCCACCTGCATGTTACTATATTATTGAGTAATGCAGTATTTTATATTCTTTTTTTTGTACATTGACTGATGAAGTTTATTTTCCCATAACTATGTACCCTTATAATTCATAAACACTTGATAAGCCCATAGTGTCTGCCTTATAGTAATATTACTACTTATAACTATATTCTAACTTCTGAGTATAACTGTCCACCATTTTCCAAATTACAATTCCACTGTGCACTGTGTCCTGGCAAATATAATATTAATAACGATAATAAATTAATATACATTTTATTATATATATGTTATATCACACCCTAAAATTGAAACACTTTATTTCACTCAGCTATAGTCTATATTGAGAATAAGATATTGTAGATACTCAAAATCAAATAATTACAAACTTTCCCCTGTGTCGACAAATCATAGCAATTATTACATAAACTTGATAAGAGTTTCAGCGTTTTCCTTTCAATGTCATGTGTACTTGTTTTACTTTTATCTTGCTGGCAGTGACATCAAAATATGACATTTCATACATCCTTCAATACCATAACTAGAAAATGTCTAAGCATTTTGCGTTAGTCTTAACAGTATTAAATTAAATAAGTAAACTTAGTTTTCACACCGTAGGTAACTAGTTCTCAGTACTACTACTACTACTACTAGTAGAGATGACCTTGATTCGAGCCAAAATGAGTAAGAGATTTGAGCGTCATTCCTACCTGCTGTTGTTCGTCGGTCAGACCAAACATTGTATCATCTATTGGATAATATGTACTACATTGTCTTACAAATGCCTGCAGCTTCACTCCAGGAAACTGAAGGGTCCTCCTAGGTAAAGCATTCATAAACAGTTTAGACATAGCACTGATGGAGTTCATGTTCAGTACCTGTAATAATACCACAGTTCAACAAACAGATGAAACTTGCTAGTGTGTTTACCGCCCTCTACCGATTGAGACGTGCTATGACCGATGTTTTTTGATGGTGCTGCTCCAGCGCGTTAAGCTCTGCTTGCTCTTCATTTATTTTTTTACTTTACGTTCATTTTTCAGTCAGTTTTCTTTATATCCATTTATTAGTTTCACGAAGCATCTTCAAGTAGTTAAATATCTGCCATGGTTTGTTATGATGTTTGATTTAACTTCTCTTTGCTGTATTCAACTAATTATTCACGATCGAGAAGAAGAGAGAAAGACTTCCTAATGTCTCCAAACATCCCAGAATTCATCCAAATATTTAGCTTCCCTTTTTTTTTTTGTAAGCACGTGTGACTATTCTAAGGTTGGATGGTACTTTGTTCACATGACAATCATTACAATAACAGCGTTCTAAACTCTAACGATTAGCTGGTTAAAATAAATACAATATTGTGTCGATTACTACTTGTCAATAATAATATCAGCATTTGTTAACATTTTTATATCAATTTAAAATCAAACTCATATAGTCAGTATGAAGGCCTTAGTTAATTAACAATCTAAATCTAGTTTCTTCTTCATTGAGAGAACAACAAATTTTCTTTGTTGGTAACTACACACATAAAACTACTAGTTTAAAACATAAGCATATCATTTAGTTTAGAGTCTAAACTCACGAGATATCCTTATATGTATAGAACACATATTCAACTTTGAATACAAGATTTATACAAAGCATTACACATAATATTGATAATATTAATTTCCAACTATTTATTTATGAACACTGTATCCCCCAGTGGGACTGCAATAATTTTACAAACTTACAATTCTAAAATCCGAGGTTCAAGCCCAAGCCATAGACACAGCAGATAACCCAGCGTGGTTTTGCTTTAAAATAAATAAATAATGAACACTCTTTATTCAAGTCATCTATTTCGTTTAAATGTCACTTCACTACACAAGAGTATTTTATAACAAATAGATATAATTAAGTGTTAAATTACAAATATATATATACATTTAATTAAACTTTCGAATCCTATCTGTATACCAAAAGAGAGCGATACAACCTAGAACTACCCATTTTCTAAAAATAATTTAATTCACGTAGAAAGATAATATGAGTAATTGATGTTATAAGGGGGGGGGGCAGCAACGACACGAAAACATAAAATTTCCATGTCAAATTCTGCTACGGGTAGAAAATTCTAGTATTCTGATATTAAATGCAATCTTGAAGAACATCTTTTAATAATATGCAGTATAATTTTGGTAAGACACACCATTTTACATACTAGAACAAAGCTCCTTACTAAGTATTCTATTTTTGCCATTATTTCCATATGTTTTGAATTAGTTATATATGTTCAAGTTATTCAAGAAATATGAAACAGTCTGCGTCTGTTAAGCTCTTTATAACATCCGAATCTATATATTTGTTATAGACAATAATACCATTTCTTCGATATGAAAGCAGAATTCGCACCAAAACATAGTTCACGCCAAAATATCTAGACCTTCTTTTCAATATATCACTACGCCGGGAACTAATCTACGAAATTATAATCTGTATTTTATTACGCTGTTACTAAATTTGCTGATAAGTTATAATGCGCACAAGTGACAAAAATGGACAAACTTATTATTAATTAACTCACTTTATTCATTTAAACGTAGGTATTATTAATATTGTCTCCCTAATCTTTTTTCGCTTTTGTTCTGATACATAAATAGAGATAGGCTATATCCTAACAGTCTAACCGAACAAAATCTAATACAAACCCAATCATTCCACCTTTCTAAGTTATCACTTTATCCAGCACTAACATAAGTTATGCTGATTCAGTTGACTCACTATAAATCACATAATTAACTTAGTCAATACAGAATATAAATAAATATCTTTATCATAAACACATATACTTCAACATAAGACCGAGACTTTAAAATTTAACACTTATAATTTCATTCAATTCCTAGGTCAATAGTTTAACACGATGTAATGGTTGATTCAGCATAGATTACACAATTAGCATAATCGCTATGGATATAAATAACTTCATTTATCCAGGTCTTATATACTCCAATACACGTCTAAGCATCTATTGCACAATAGAGATTTAAAACTATATATGTTGCTCATAACTTTTGCTGAGTCTGTGATAACTTTTCTTAACTTATATTTCTGCTTTTAACTAATCATCTTTGGTTTGTTTTTATCATAAGCCCCCTTTTAAGTCTGGCTGTTGTACACAATCACTTTAGCAAAGTCACCTTAAATACGTTAGTAAATTAAAACAAATATACCACGAGAGGTCATTTTTGCACAGGCTGTGCTATTGTTTTGTGGACACCTAGCCGAAACTTGCCACAAACTAAATAAGAAGTAAATTTATATCTTTTATATAATTTAGACTTATAGAATAAAATTTAATTGATTCGATATTTCAGTTACTTATGATATCAGATAGATTTAATATAACATTAGATTATTTAAATAGTAATAACTACATTATAAAAATTTGATAAATATGATACATAAAACTGTACATATGACAATTCTGCTTCGGTGCTTAGTAATTCGCAAAGCAGGCCCAATCTTGTCTGGTGTTCTTGGGAGAAAAGCCGAAAACACTGCTAATAGTGAGGATACCCAACTGATGACCTCAGGTAGAGTGACCAAAGAGGCTTTTTGTGGTTTACCTATCACTCATATTTAAAACTAATTATTATTAATTGTAAAATTTGTATTGAAGATTTTTAGCAACTCTTCTGATAAAATATATTACATAATAGTCATGGAAAGCTGATATTAAAAATACGAAACTCTCATTTTAAGATCATTTTGAATCTACTAGTGCTCGATTGTAGCGTATTCTGTTGAATGGACGAGACAGTGCTTTGCATTATCAGTGATCCAGAGATTCTTTGGAACAATGAAAAGTAATGTTTTGAGTGCTTTTGTTTGTTTTCATCTCTGTTCCGAATTTCCTCCAAAAATCGGTTTTATTATTAGAATTGTGTATTTACCAAATGATGAGTTGTAACTGTTTCATTAACATAGACTCTTATGGGCATGATGCAGAATAGAGGAAAGGCTATTTTTATTTCGTTGAAAAGTATAGAAAAATGAATCACTTGTGACCAATCAGCAGGTGGCGACGTAAGTTCGAGCCAATCACATAAAATGTACTTATCTCTATTTGATTTTTATAGTGGGTGTCGTCATCAGTCAGTTGCAACTTTATAGTTAGTTGATTAGTTTTTAGTTAGGGATATTTTATAAGTCTTTGAAGAGCTTTTAAGGAGATTTTCTGGTCGTGAGTAGTGAAGTCTTCAGACTAATCTTGTTCATATTCGCGGTTTTATTTGATCCACTCAGATTTCTCGCTAAAGCTTTTTTTTTCAGGCATATGGTTTCATTTCTTCTACACTCAGTTCTTTTCTCTTACTATACTAAATTTCTTTCAGGCCAGAGTGTTTCCCTTCTTTCCTATTTTATCAGCTTTTAAAACCATAGTCTTAGTTGAGATTTATCTTCAGTTTGATATACAGTACTGTCTGGTAAAGAACCTGTTTCTGCTCAAAGTTAGAAGAATTGGTGGTGATATGTTGCTAAGTGTTCAGTCTTTTTGCCTGGAGAATATTTAGCATATTGTTTTGTTTCTAACTCTAAATTAAGCATAACAACTTAATTAGTAATGTTAGCAGTAGAGCTTTGCAACAGAAACTGAAAGTTCTTGTCTTAAATTTTAGTTGGAAAACGAAATAATACAGCAAATTAAAATAAAATTAAAAAAGTATGAGATTATAAGGTAATTAATTCCACACTGTAAAGTAAGTGATATGAATTTCGGTGATTGTTTTTACCAAGTTAAATCCAATGAGAATTGTAAAGAAAATGCCATGTGATGAATGGAATAAATCTTAACGTTGAATGTTTTAGATCTATGACTGTTCTTTTCAAGTTAACTACTATAAAGCAGTTTGTGAGATTGCTACAATTTTATTTCCCCTCTATGATCCTGAACCTGACTTATTGCATAAGGATTATCAAGCTGCGGCGTCAGTCCCAAAACTGTTTCCAAACTTAATGATCATAGTAACGTTCATCTGCATAATCATGACATCATAGAATTTGCCGAAACAAGAAACTTGCAAGTATTAATATTTCCATGTAGACGTATACACATATACATTAGTGAAATGCTTGAATAAGCACTATCACAACTTTTAATGTTGAACACTTTTTCTTTATATTTCCGATAATACCGAAAGTAAAAGCATTATCCATTTCAGAAAACACTGTTAAAAAGAAATTTTGTTGCAAACATTTAATAGTTTCAAAACTGTGAAATGCTCTTGAATAAATACAAAGTATTAAAGGAATAAACTTAGCTTTTAAACTGCCTTAAGGTATAACATTAGAAATAGTAGCCCTCCCCCCCTAGTGGCACAGCGGCATGTCTGCAGACTTACAACGCTAGAATCCAGGTTTCGATACTCGTGGTGGGCAAAGCACAGATAGCCCATTGTGTAGCTTTGTGCTTAATTACAAACAAGAAATAGTAGAGAAGCATATATACACGGTCTTATTTGTTTTGAGAATTATATTCTTATAATTACAGATATTACGCTGTGCATACCAACATAACATCAGCCATCTTTTCAGGGCACATGGTTTTTATTTCATTTTTATTAAGGTGTTAGGTTTTGAAATTTAAAGTTTGTCCCCTCGTATTATAAGCACATGCGTTAATTAGTGGATCATATATCTGAGTCATATGTGTATACAAATGTGATACACTCTGGTATGGTACTTCCCGTTTGCGTATTGCTCTCATCAGCTATCCATGATAATTAATTATATATATATATAATGCTGCGTAAAGAAGTTGAATGGCCGATAAAGAAGTATAAAAACCTAATGAAGTTAAAATCCTGAAATAAAATAAACCGGAAGCTTTAGCAAATTCTTATAAAATAATTATGTGATATATATCTCACCATC